GTAATCTCTTCCAGTAATTATCTATGTATACATGTATGTCATGTATACATAAAAATCAGAATCTTATCATCATGTCTCATTTTCTCAAGGATTGTAACAGTATCTTTTGGAGGTAGACAGAGGAGACATTTTTATTACAATTTAAATGACAAGAAAACTGGAACCCAAAGATACACATCTAATTAATAGCAGAACTAGGGCTAGAATCGTGAATCTTTTCATTATACCAGGATCCTGCTGTTCTCCGTGAGGTTTCTAATTAAGTGGTGTTCTTCACACAAGAATAAATTGTGCATCAATCCAGCATCAATAGGACATGAGTTTGTAATTGGATGTTCTTCCTCAGGTAAGGCACAGATTTAAGCTGATCCTGTGTCCATATCATGGCTGTGCATTATTTAACATTTCAAAGGGAAACAAGAATGGCGCACCTAGGATCTTAGTCCTATAAAAACCTAACTAGTGAAGCTAGGCAGGCATCATTAAGATTCAATTTCTTTCCAATGTCCAAATGACATCTGGACAGTGTTGGCTTGGCTCAAATCCTGTTGCTATGATAACCACAGACATAGGTTTAATCCTACCATAGACGAGTGAGTTGCAGTACAATCCACAACCACTGACTATATTCCAGAGCAACATATACAACAAGTATTCAATAAGTGTGTACTGGGGTGAATTGAATGTTTATTATCATTCAGCAGGAACAGTCAACAAAACAGACAGCAAATATAAATATTCCATCACTACACTCAGTATAGAAAAGGCAACCCAATGTGAACTAGCTTTCTATTTTATTCTAAATAGAAGACTAAATTGTAATCCCTCAAATGCAAACACACACCAGATTGTTAACTCTGCAGATGAGGGAACTATATCTTATTTTTCTGCATACTAGCACCGAACTAGACACATTTGAAGTGTCAATGTTTTTGTAATTGAATTATATTTGCTAGGCTGGCGTGGGAGTTAAAAAGATGTTGACTAGTAATTCACTATTCTTTTCCCTGAGAGCTCTTTAAATCAAGCTCTTAAAAAAAAGCAGCAAGCTAAATTCCAAAACCCTCTCTTAGGAGAATGCCCACAACTGGTGGGGTCTGGACTATGTCCACTGGATGTGAAAATCTCTTCTGCACAAACATCATTTAATCCCAAGGGAGCCCATGACTGGCTGACTGGCTGTGGAGACTCACACGTTCCCTCTTTCCCAATGGCATGGGGTCAGGGGAAAGGGTGGGAGCTGAGTGATGAAGCACTGCTAAACTTAATGTTCTGCTCTTCCTTGGAGAAGGGAAATCTCACAACAGGAGGAGAGCTGGTACTTTTCTGGAGGAGGAACCATAAAGAACACAAAGAAGTTGAAAATGATCTTTTTTTGAAGACAAGTTTTTGGTGTGTTTTTAAAGGGCCACTCACATATTACCTCTTACCTTAGACTGGACTGATGCTATTGGAATGACCTTGTCAGAGCTGAGCTGAAATTCTACAAACTGGGGTCAAAGTTGACTGAGTCAGTGGAAGGGTAATATGGGATATAGGAGGAGTCATTAGGCTATGATCCTCACTTTTTAAAAATGTATCCTAGAACATTAACAAAAACAAAATGCTGTCCTATATAATAAAACCCTAATATGCAAATTGACCAAACAGTGGAACAACTGGTCCCTATGGTGCGCACTGACCACCAGGGGACAGATGCTCAATGCAGGAGCTGCCCCCTGGTGGTCTGTATGCTCCCACAGGGGGAGCACTGCTCAGCCTGAAGCTGGGCTCATGGCTGGCGAGCACAGCAGCGGTGACGGGAGCCTCTCCCACCTCTACTGCAGGAGGGCGGTAAGGAGCGAGGGGGGACTGTGAGAGGGTGCAGGCTGGGCTGAGGGACCCCCCCCCCCACCACCACCAGTGCATGAAATTTCATGCACCAGGCCACTAGTTTTCTAGAAAAACTTTTCCTGAAATATACTGAACTAGATTTGAAGGAAGTGGAATAGAAAATACTGATTTTTCTAGGAGGCAATCAAAACAACTCAGTAATCTCCTAAGCTTTTTACAAATTCTCTTGAAGATTTAGTTGCAATATAAAATGCACACATTTTTATTGGCAGTGTTTGGTTATCAACTGCACAACTCTCTGAAGTGCCTCCTATACAATTCCCACGTTTGTCTCTGTTACACATTCCCGGGGCTGCTGGCAGGACCTGTCATGTTGGTGCCATGGTCTAGCCTAGTAAACTTTCTCCAGGGGATTTAGGACACACTCTCCCAGCTGCCAAGTTCTCTACTTATAAGGTGCAGAATTTATTAGTGTAAAGAAAGACAAAAAGAAAGACTGTTACCTTTTTAAGTGCATTTTACATATGGTTTCTTTATTAGAGCTTGGTGTTTCCAGAAATACAGCTGCCCAGCTCATTTGTGCTAAATCAGTGGGATTTGTTTCAGCTTCCTATGAGCTTCTGTGAGCTCTGCTACTACCACATATCAACCGAGGTCTTCTGTGCCATGCTTTCTAAGGAAGCCACCTGCAGCGACTCTCATTTTGGGAAAAAAGCCATGAAGACTTGCATCTTTAAACTACACAGAGCCATGCTTTGGAATTCAGGATTGTCCAGTTCTAGAAATCAAGCCTGTCTAGTTACCCAAATACCATCTTTTTCTAGTCTAGGTTTTCTTCTCTTTAATTCCTGAAAATGCCTATTTCCAACTTTGGACCCAATTCTGAGGCAAACATTGGCCTCAGACCATAACATAGATACAACAAAGAGCACTGCAAGAAACGGTGCAGCATGGTGCAAAGAAAACAGGATTCGGAGCTGAGAGACTCTTAGATTCCAGTTCTTACTACTTGTCTGACCTTGGATTAGTCACTTAATAATTTTAGTTTTTCTTCAGCAAAATAAGTAAAAATAGTCATACTATCAGACTTTGCAGAGTAATTATGCCAAAGTGTAATTATTTTGTTTGCATGTTTATTTATTTTCCATTTCTCAGTACGCCTCATTAGATTATAAGCATGCCTTATCTCTGTGGTTCATCACAATGGCCCATTGCACATGATCAAGAAGAGTGAATAAGATTTGAATGAAGGAAGGAAGGAATAAAGCAAGAAGGAAAGAAAGAAAAAAGGAAGGATAGAGGGAAGGGAAGACAGAGTGCTCAGAGCATTATTGATGTATGTATATGAAAGTGGTATATAAATTAAATTTTGTCCACAATATTAAAGAAATTATAACGCACATTTGATGCATTAATTATACGAAAGTGATTTTTAAAAATGTTATTTCCCTCCATAAAACCATCCTATGGGCTTTTCATACTACTTACAGGAAAATTCAAACTCCTATTAGCTTAAAAATCCCCATGTGATCTGACTCCAGTGGGGCTTCATGTCCAGTTCCCCCTTCTCTGCCAGGCCCCGTCACTCAGCTATTCTTGTGTTTCCTCAAACATGTCTGCTGTGAGGACTTCATGCTAGCTCTCCACCTTCCTGAAAGCTCTTCTGAAAAATCCATATGACTCCTTCTTTTCACTGGGCTCTTAGCTTCAACGTCACCTTCTCGGAGAAGCCTTCCTTCTACACACTTTCAAGGAGCCTCCACTGACTCCTTGTTATAGCACTCTATTATTTATATATTCACTTACCTATTATTAGTCTCTTCCTCACTATCTGATGATCAGAATTTTCATATGACATTATATTGGTTTAATGTACTTTTCTAATTATTTTTTTGTTTATCTCTATAAGTTTATGAGCTCAAAGCAAGTACAAAACCCTATGGTTCAAACTAAAATTTCCCTCTCCATCCCTCTGTACCCAGCCCTGCCCCCGCCCCCCCGCCCCCTACCCCCACACACACTTTGAGAGAGGCATCGTGGCTCTCTGAATAAAAGCAACTGTGCCAGTATTGTGATTGAATTGGAGTGATATGCAATAAGTGATGCAATAAATGTTCAGAACTCTGACTAGAGGGATTGTTTTGAGACATGGAAATGGTGCTGTTGGAGGCCAAGCTGTTCTCTGTTCCAGGCTTGGAGGCCTCCTGGCTCAGGCCTGGACTTAGGCAGAGGGAAGCAAATGGCAGGAACACTCACTGGTTCCACTGGGTTTGTTAACTGTGGACCCTGGGGGAGCAGAAATTCTGTAGACAGAGCACTGGACCAGGGCACAGGGACAGGCCCTAGGGCTGGCTCTACCTGCCCTCTCCTCACCTCCCCACCCCAGGTTATCAGTCCCTCTGTTATATGAGGTGGAACTAGATCATCTAGAAGGGGGATCCTAGCTCTGACATTATATGGGTTAATGAGAGGAGTCTGACCTTGCATCATGACCAAGACATCTGTGAAAAGGATGGCCCAGGTAATATTTCTGGTAAGCACAGCTTTTCTGGACTAAATGGGATTTCTTGGACTGGTCAGTCACTGGACAAACCCAGATCTCTGCTTTTGCCATTCTTCCTTAGCTTTCTTTCCATTTCCTTTGCTTTGCTTGAGAAGTTGGTGCTCTGGGAAAATCCCCTCAATGTCACATATGGATCAACATCTAACTGTAAGTGCACTTCATTCAGCCACTCTCCAAGGGATGGGCTCCTACTGTATCTGATTTTGGCCAGCATGCTCCCATCTGCTTTCAACATGTTGTATCTGACATTAACTAATGTCTCCTATTAGCATTAAAGAAAACAATCTGGAAAAATTCACTCTCAAGCAGAGTTCAAACAGGCCACAAGTAGATGTGGAATCTCAACTGCACAAGATTTCTTAAAATTATAGTAGTAAATACGTTATATAAAAATGTGTGTGTGTGTGTGTGTGTGTGTGTGTGTGCATGCGTATGGGTGGTGGGGGGTAAAGCCAAAAGTCTGTGAAATGGGTCAAGAATGCTTCTGTCCAATTCATGAGATTAACTGGTAACAGAAGAAAAATTCTCCCAGAGTTGAACAAGGCATGATCCAAAGAACTGAATGACATGGAGAAGGAGCTGGGAATCTTTATCTCACACTTACTGGTAATGGGTTAAAATTCTGGTCCACGAGGTGATTGTATCCATGGTCAAAAAATGAGTGCCGTATCACAACATCAATGCCCTGATTGGCCAGCATTCCTAAAGTGTTCAACCATCTAAAAAGCAGGGGGAAAAAGCTACATCAATACATTTTTAAATAGCATATAACAAACTCTACAGAGTCTGGCTAACACACACACATATACACTAACCACCCTCACCACCAAATTTACCTCATACTTCAAAGGAGAAGATTATTTTAAGCATTGAATACCCAGCTGGAAGAGATTTTAGAGATTATCAAATCTTACCTCTCACTTTATAGGAAAAGAAACAGAGATACAGGAGAGTAAAATGAATTGCCCTTGGTCATAAATAGCTTGTTGCTAATGACTTATCTTCTATTCCTGTAATATTCAATATTAAAATAACACCATAGGCACTTGTAAACATGATTATCACCCCCTGGCCACAGGATACACAATCACAGGAGCACACACACTATACTTTTCATCACTTGAACTCTCCTGCTTACACCTTATGACTGTGGCTTTCGTGTGTCTCTAATTCAAATACTCCTATGATCTGTGCAAGAGTGGGACAGTCATTTGTATCCCTCATATATTACCATCAGCAGTCGATGCAATGATAATTGTCTTCACCCTATAACTATACAGGGATTGAAGTGTGCTACCATCACATGCATATCACAGTGAAGGACCTGCATTGCTCAAACACTTATTGCATACCCCACTATGCCAAACACCCACTTTCCAGGGCATGTTTTCTTTCAAAAATATTGTTCTCTGGGTTCTTCCAACACCCATGCTAACTCTGCCTTCATTATTGACAAATTCAGTTCATTCTTTTCTCTTTCTCTTTCTACTTCTGAAACGTAGGGAAACTTCTAATTGTAATAATATAAGTGTAAGAAATATGACTGAGAGATTCAGTCTTCTCAGTATAATATTGAGGCATTTCATAATATTTTCTCAGCATATGTGTCTAGCTTCATCTGTCACCTCTTCTTTCCTTTTCTCTCACCCTAACCCCCATTTCCCAGGCTCTAAGCTACATAAAACTACTCTTGGCTGCCCAAATACACCATGCTTTCACATGCTTACCTGAGTCTTTAGACATGTTTTTAACTTCTGCTCAGTATTCCCTTCCTCTCTTCCTCTAACCCATCTCATCTGGCAAATTTCTTTCCACCTGTTAATCTACTAGACAAGTGTTGCCTCCTTCTAACTTCTGCCACCACAAAGTAGAACCTTCCTCCTCTGTACTCCAAGAACTCTTATCCAGACCCTTTTCCAGCCCATTAAATGACAATCACTTGCTTACTTCTCTGCTGTCTCCCAGTTGGTTATAAATTCATCAAGAACAGACATATGTTTTAGCTTTGTACCCAAAACACCCATCACTGTTCCTAGTACAGTGTAGGTGCTCAATACTCTTTATTGTGTTGAAAATGATCTGGATCAAATTAGATCCTAGGAACTTTAAAAATCACCATTCAGCATACTAGAGACATATTATGCATAGTTGTGATTTCCCAAATCTGAAACCATATGGAGCTCCAAACCAGTGACTTACAGAATGAAAGTTTTCCCTTACTGAAATGAAGAGCATTGCTAATTTTTATATTATGAATCAATATCATTGATATTTTCAAATATTTTTCACATTGACAATTATATGTTATTCTCATAAAAGCTAAAAAATATTTACTGATAATTAGTTACAAATACAAAACAAAACACAAAAACAAAAGTTTTAAATATAAAAGAAAATTTAACAATAATATAATAGAACCTTTTTTGGTTTGTTTGTTTTAATTGGGACATTGCAACTCAGGGAATTAAAAATTCTTTTGAAACATCACGCCTAAGCTACTTGCCTTTATTATTTTTTATTAATTTGGCAACCCTATGAAATCAGGATAACAGCTTTGGCTTTTCCTTTGAGACACAGTACTAAATATCTCGTAGTAGAACTATAACACGAATTCTGGGTGGACGCCTCCTAACTCAGTGTTCTTTCAATGTGAAAATAGGGCAAATACAACAGGGCCTACATCTAACAAGTATTTATCTATAAAAACACATGTGTGTTATTCTCCTTTCTAGCCCTGTCCTTGTTGAGTGAATGAAGAAACAGAGTGATGAGTAAATATGTCATCATGTATATGTGAGACCCTATATCTACCAGCATCTGGATGTCAACACAAGACCGTATTTTAGTATTTTTATATGTGAAAAGTTCCCACTTGTTCATTCATTATTCATTCAAGGACATTAATTAATCAATTGTAAATGCCAGGCCTTATTTTCAACATAGAGGATAGATTTAAAAAGTGCTATGACTATGTAAGTCATTTGTAAAGCACTGGGTATGTAAATACCCATTTACAGGGATGGTATCAAATTCCTACTTGTGACCTCTACAGAGCCTAGCACAGCCACCTGCAAAGATTTTATAGATTTTATATATATATATATAAATGTTAATAAATAAATGCAAATAAATGTTAACTAGTAAATCTGAGTTTTTGCTAGTATATGGGGAGGTTTTGAAGGAACTCTAACACAAAAGGGAAGAATATACATCCTCTTCTCCAAACCCACATCCAATATGCACATCCCCACAACAGTCAAAATTGACTATAGCCAGAACTCCTGCTTCCCCCTGGCTTTTCAGAGTGGATGATTAGTACTGAAGTTATCTTCATCTTCTTCCAGTAATAATAAGCCCTGAGATGAAGAGATACATGATGTTCTAAGTGTCCCTTTTATGCTCAAGTAGAGAAAGGGGTAAGCTGACTGAAATATTTCACCAAGGATGCTACTGCAGCCAGTATTTTTCATTCCACACAAGTGTATTGCATATCTAATATGTGCCAGACACTACTAGAAGCTGGAGACACAGTAGTACACTAAGGGTACATTGTAGTGCATCAAAGAATCTCAAAGCCCTGATGGGAAAAAGTACCCTTGAAGACTTGGCAGTGAAGAATTCTGACTCATGATTGCATGGATATGTTTACCAGTAAGCTCACAATTATACCATATATTGGGGGGGAAAAAGGATAAAAAAATACCTTTTTTTCTATTTCTTGCTAACTTTCTGGAACTTCCTATAATGCTTTATTTTTTTTTTCTAGGAAGCAATTTATGCCCCTTGAAGAGAACTGAACTCAAAGGGCACAATGCTGGATAGCTGCCAGTGGAGCTGTGAGCAAATGTGTGATAAAGAGGTAAGAAGGAAGACCAGGAGCAGAAAGAGCTAGTTTTCATACAGTCTGTGCCAACTAAGCAATGGGTGTCTGAACTACGACTAGAATCTAAACAACTATGTTTATCTGTGTTCTGCAAAATGACTGCAGAGATATTTGGCTGATGCTCATTAAAAAGATAGGTCTCTCTCCAGCTCCCTCCATCAAGGTCTGTGGTACTTCTCATTTCACATCATCCCCTAAAGAGAAGAATGCTCATGAAAACACTGAATGCACTGGGGCTGTTTGCTGGGCTCTGCAGCAGAGTTCTTTTGCAACAGCTGAGCAAAAGCTAGTCCACTGCTGATGCCAAGAGGTCCCCTGTAGTACTGACTGCTAGTCTGGCTTCTTACCCTGGCCTCCGGGCTCACAGTGAAACCTGGTGGGGAGTATATTTTTGAAAGAAGACTCTCGGCAACATTATCAAATGCTGATTCACTCCATGTCATTCATCTGTTCTGTGCCACTCAGTGTTAAGTGCTGAGGACACATAGATGGAAGACCCAGGATATCACAGTATATTACATTGACTCATTATCTTCATCTGCACTTGCAGGATTCCATCTGTAAAGGCAAACCTACCTGACTGACTTGATTTTTCCTTCACAAATGTGTCAACTAAGCTTCTTAGGAAGACCTTGCTTAGCCAAAAGCCAGGACTGTAAGACTAGACAGGACAGGTTAGCCCGTGGTCCTGAGGGATTTGTCCCTGCTATGTAACACTGGCAGGCCAGTCAGAGGTCCTTATTCTTCTGGCTTAAATTGTTCTCCAGAAAACTTCAATAACCTTCAAGTTCATTTTCCCATCCCTTGCCTCTCCAAACTCTTTAGTGTACTATTGCCAAAGCCAAAGTTTTAAAACATAGGTCAGAAGGTGTCTCTTTCCTCCAAAACCTTCACTGGCTTGCCACTGAATACGGAACAGGTTTCATTTCATCTGCCTGATCTTCAAGGCCTTTCATGATTTGATGGTAAACTCCCTCCTTAGTCTCAGCCTTCCTACATTCCCTCAGATGCCAAGGCCTTTGTCACACACATTTCCCCTCCCCTGTTCCTTCAGCTGAGAATGCTCCCCGTCCCGTCACCACCATTCTCCACCAACAGAAATTAGAGTAATCTCTCTTTGTCCCATTCAAATGCTACTTTTCCCATGAAGCCCTTCCTGATCCTCCCAGTCAGAGAAATCCTTGATTCCTTTGCATGTCTATTACTTTTCTTTTGTAGACAGGCTCAGGGAAAGGTGGTCTGATGTAGTGGCAAAGAGGCTGGGCACTGGAGCATGCTGCCTGGGTGTGAGTCCAATCTCTGCTACTAACTAATAATAGTATTTATCTCACTGGGTTGTTATAAAGTAACTAGAGGCCTGGTGCATGAAATTCATGTGGGTAGGGTCCTTAGGCCTGGCCGGTGATGAGGGCCAATCTGCAGGGCAACCTGCGGAGCAATCAGGGGGCCGCCCACTGGCACCCACCTTGGCTGGCCTGGGGCCTGCGGGCTGGTGGCAGCTCCTGCGTTGAGCATCTGCCCCCTGGTGGTCAGTGCATGTCATAGCGACCGGTCGTTCTGCCATTCGGTCAATTTGCATATTAGGCTTTTATTATAAAGTAATAGTTTCTACTTCACTGGCTGTTAAATTATTAGCCATATATAAAGCATTTTAGACAGTGGTTGGCACACACTAAGCACAACAGAGTTAAAATTATTATTATGATGGCACTTATCTTTATGACTTTACTTATCTTGTCTCCCTTCCTCCAATGTTAAGATCCTAGAGGGCAAAAACCCTGTGTTACTCTTACCCATCTCCCAGGAGTATGGTGAAAATTAGATGAGAAAATGTCAGCACTATGTTTTGCACTGGAGACATTAAATAAATTTTTTATTACTTTTATGACTACTGTTGCTACTATCTTGTTTTGATGCCTGTGCCTGGCATTTTCATATCTAGAGAAGTCTCTAATCTTGCTTTATTGAATGGCTAAACATATTCACAAATAAATGGCTGAATAATTTTCAACATGAACTCTCCCTCTCAAGGGCAGAATACTGAGCAACTATGGAAGTCTCACTATCCTTCTTTCCTCAAAGTCCCTGGAAGTGAAATTGAAAGTGTTACTCACAAGAATCCTGCAGCATAGGAATCTGATAGGTTGTTTGTGCCTCCAGCTGAGGTGGTTACCACACCTTCAAGCCAAATCTTCTTTCCTGGGGTGTATGTATTAACCACCTGTTCACACAACAAAGCAGAAAGGAATAGTGATATTATTAAAAGCTGTTCTCCATGCTGAAACCGGTTTGGCTCAGTGGATAGAGCGTCGGCCTGCGGACTGAAAGGTCCCGGGTTCGATTCCGGTCAAGGGCATGTACCTGGGTTGCGGGCACATCCCCAGTAGGAGATGTGCAGGAGGCGGCTGATCGATGTTTCTCTCTCATCGATGTTTCTGACTCTCTATCTCTCTCCCTTCCTCTCTGTAAGAAATCAATAAAATATATTAAAAAAAAAAAAAGCTGTTCTCCAATGAGAAGAAACACACATCCCTTAAGGAAATTCCTGCAATCCCTTACTCCCAGGTGGTAATGACCTATGCTTTTTTTATTTTAATGCACCCCATACAGTGACCTGGCACACACATGCATGTACACGCACGCACACACACACAAAAACACACACATACGCGGATTAATACTGACACATGTCCACCAAAAGAAATGATCACTTTTCCCTAAATTACTCCAATGTGACAAGAGAACAAGTGCGAATTCCAGGACATAAACTGACTGCAACACCCTTCACTGGAAGATATAAATCTATGATATATCCTTATTAACAAGCACTGAGAAGCAAGTTTTCTTTTTGTCTTTAAATACATTTTTATTGATTTAAGAGAGGAAGGGATAGAGAAATAGAAACATCAATGAGAGAATCACTGATCGGCTGCCTGCTGCACACCCCCTTCTTGGGATCGAGCCAGCAACCTGAGCATGTGCCCTTGATCAGAATCAAACCTGGGACCCTTCAGTTCGCAGGTCAACACTCTATCCACTGAGCAAAGCCAGCTAGGGGGAAAAGCAAATATTCTTAATACTCTGTTACAGCAAATCCATGGATGAGTGCACTGTCCATGCATCAAAAATCATCAATCATGAGAGTCCACAGAGATCAATGTCTGGGAGAAGTATTTTACAATTACCAGGGCATGTGTACATATTAGAACCACATTTTGAGGTAACTGCAGTAAGCATAAAAAGAAAAATCACTGACTCACAGGTGAAAGATCCTACACAGGAGCAGTCTCCTAAGCAAAGGCAAAACCTTTTGTCAAAAGGTGGCCCTCTGACATTTTGAAATGGCCTAGTGTCTGATCCACAAGTTGGAGATTGGCCAAACTATCCCAATCAGAGCTCAGATCTTTTGGGAAGCAATCTGGCAGTACTTAGGGATAATGCTGTACACTGCTTAGCCTCTGAAAGCAGAGCTGACACAAAGGTTTGTCTATAGGTGGTTCATTTGGGAAGTAATATCAGCAGGAATGAGGAACTGGGGGACTGAAATAGGGAGGAAGGGGAGACCAGTACAAGGAAGCATTTTCAAATTGGCAACCAGTGCTGGCAACTTGTACTCAATCCCACAGGGATCTTGGTAAGAGCTGTGTCTCAGAACTGTCCTTTGGCTCTTATCCTCCAAAGATCAAGAGTAGCCTTGTGACTATTTATCCCCACCCGCCATTACCCCATTTCATTGAGGAGTGAGGCTCTACTGCACCATACCAGCACTACACTGGTTGCAGCCTGTGCACCTGCCTATCTCTGATCTCTGCAGAGATAACCAGAGCAGGAGGTGGGGCTGAGAAGATGCTGGTTATGCACAAGAGGCACTGGATAAATGATAGTGCATTTAGTAAGGTCCTATGGCCCACCAATTACTCTCCTGTACATTTAGACCAACTCTATTTTCCCTTAGGTCTCTAAGGAGACAAGTATGAGAATGTTCACTATGTTTGTGGCAGATGTCTGTTGCTAGAGGAACAGGAAAATAAAATGTGGTGGATATATATCATAAAATATTATGCACAAGTTAGAGCAATAAATTCAATGTAAATCCAGCAATATGAACAGGTTTTAAAGGGTTAGTGGTAAGTTAAAAAAATAGCAACAATATAATATTTATGGACCAATATTATTTATATAATTACCATTCACACCCAATAACACTAAACAGTATATAAAGATACATGTCTCTTAAAGACATATATCAAACACATAAGGAAGTCATGCATTTGAGGGAGGTGCACGTGAGTGAGGATTAGAAATGAAGGTGAAAATTAAAGCAGGTCTTTGCATGAACTGATGATAATAGTTTGCTATAGTTCAGGTATAAGATTTTAATTAATTCTTTGCATATATATATATATATATATATATATAGAGAGAGAGAGAGAGAGAGAGAGAGAGAGAGAGAGAGAGAGTTACATGTATGTCAGAACTTTCCTCTTTTCAAACTCATGGGCAGACATCAGCAAAGAGATTTATTTTTTAAAAATCTCTTCCTCGGTACAGTTCTCTGCCTTTCCATCCCCCCTCCTGCCACCTACTAGATAATTTATATTATTTGAGACCTATTTTCAAATCAGAGATGGCAAAGTGCTTGACCCTTTAAGGAATAAAGTTGTAAAAATACTTCAAAAATTTCAGATGAAAGTAAGATAGCAATAAAAAAATGGAAGAAAAACCCTGGGAATTAATAGTGGAGATCAAATTAGAATGCTGTTAAAGATTAAATAAGAATCCCCCTTGCACCAAAAAAAAAAAAAGAAGAGTTATTGAGGATGTCACAGACAGTTCTCCTCCCCTTCTCAAATGACTCGAAGTGCCGAACCCATGTAGCCAGGGCAACACTTTATAACTAAGAAAGCAAGGAAAACACCTTAAATGATCAAAAGATAGAGCCATATAATGACACTAAAGGATTACAATGATTCCCCTTAAAAATACCTGTGCTAGAAAAATACCTGTGCTCTTGATAAACTTTGTACTTCTTTTGTGACTAACTAAAACTGAGTCAAATAACGGTGTTTTTCTTTTTGTCTTTGACTTCTAGGATATTCAGGATTTAATTTTGCTCAAAGACAGATATTGAAATGAGACAATTAGAGAAAAGGGGTTTGGTTAAACAAAACAAAACAAAAAGGTAAATATTACAGTATGATGAATCTTGAAACCATTAAACTAAAAGAATCCAAACACAAAAGGCCACATATTATATGATCCATTTATATGAAATACCCAGAATAGACAAGTCCATAGAGACATAAAGCAAATTAGTGGTTTTTAGGGTTGGAGAAGGAGAGGGAGAAGAGGAGAGGATGTGGGGAGTGACTACAAATAGGTATGGGGTTTCTTTGGGGGATGATGAACATGTTCTAAAATTAAACAGTGGTGATGGTTTTACAATTCTGTGAATATATTAAAAGTCACTAATTGCACACTTTTAAAGGGTGACTCTTATGGTATGTGAATTATATCCCAATAAAATGGTATATGTGCCTTTTTTATATTTAAATTACCTAATAATTATAAAGCATTTGGAAAAGTGCCTGGTATATGGTAAGCTCTTAAAGCATAAATCAAAATTACCTAGATCACTCTTCTTGTCCAAAGTACATAGGATTATGTTTGGATTAATCTAACATTAAAGCTGATTACTTTTCTTTTGGACACAATGCTTTTCATGGTAGATAATGGGCCAGATGTATGCTAAGTAGCAAAGAGAGGTCCATTTAAAATTTAAAATGCACAGGGATCATTTACATTAACATAATTCCCATTCAGAGTAATTCATTTATCCACTCTCAACACAGAAGCAATTCTTGTCTTTTTCTAGAGAAGCCACATGAACAAAAAATACACAGTGAGGTAGAACTTTGATACAAAATCTAAACAAGTTATATGAAATGTTTTGTGGAAAAGAGATTCCTTGAAAGTATTCATATTAAAGGTTCTGGGAGTAGTTGGTACAGATCAACAAGGATTTTCTGAGCATTTACCATTTGGAACATGGTGAGAAGCTTGATGAACTGTATGACTATCATGAGCAGAGAAGACCATTGTGGTGAGGTGGTAGGGAGGTACTGAGGCTGGGTGCTGGTTGGGATTAGGGAGGAAATCGGTAAGGGCAGACTAGGAACGAAAAAAATTAGGAAAACCAAATGGAACCACCTGCAAAATTCCCTTAGAAAGTGAAACTCTAAGAAACGGAGGGCTCTAGTTCAACACTGCGGTTTTCTGCGTAAATATGATTCTCCCTGTGCTGGAAGAGAGAAAATTGCAGGACTGGAATAAACAAAGGTATGTTCCTGGTGAGAAATGATGTGCCAATGAAGGTTATTTTAAGAAACACACTGACTGGGGAGGGGGAAGTACAAATGCTGAGATTGCTGATGTGAAGGTGGAGGAGCGAAGTGGTTCGCTCCCTTTCAGAAGCTCTTTGTTCTAAATAGGCTTCAGCCATTGGGCCCATGTAGACAAGGGAGTTTTGAGGCACCCACAGAACAGCTCACAAGTGACTAGTTGCTGATCAGAATCCTTGGGCTTGATTGGGGGCAGGGTAAAGGGAAACCCAGTTCTCTGCCCTCATATTTCGGGTTTGAAGGCCTCAGGACTATTCGTGTGGCTATGCTGAAGGAAGTGAGGTGAGAAAGAAAGAAGAGTTTAGGAAAACAGCACCGATTTTTAAAAAGTTTTATTTTCTCAACCACTTTGAAATTTTTTTTTTAAAGGAAAAACAGTAAAAATAAAAAAATAACCATTTACGTGGCATAGTTTCAAACCTGGACTTCCTTTTCCTGTTTCTCAAAAACTGTGACCTAAGTCTTTTTTAAAAAATGACTCCTGAGAGCCTGGTCTCAGCCACTGACTGTGCAAGAGATGGTAGCCTTGTAGCAGCAGACATGTTGTTTATGGTTATCCAAACCCAACACCTTCCTTAATGAGAAAGGAAGCAATAAAACAGGAGCAGTGGACAGGCCAGCTGGCTAATCAGCCCTGGCAGGAGGCCCACCCTCCAAAAGAAGCTGGAGTCCATTAATTCCAGCCTCTCATCTACTCAGAAATCAACCTTCCCCAGGACATCAGGAAGAGCAGTAGCCCTTTAAGAAACCAGAACTTATCTCCTGTATCATCGGTTCAAAGCTTCAGGAAGCTTCTTAAACCTTACCTATGCACAGAGCT